CCCGGAGCAGCGCCGGGGCCGCCGCCAGGTGTGCCCCCAGCCCGGCTGCGGGAGGAGCTTTCACCTGGCCAAGCACCTGCGGCGCCACGTGGGCGTGCACTCAGGTGAGTGCGGGTGTGCCCCCAGACCCCCCCCTCTGTGCCCCCAAAATCCTGCTCCCTCCTCAGCAAGAGCTTTCACCTGGGCTGGCACTGGGCCACCTCTCAGGTGAGCCCCCAGACCCCCCATTGTGCCCCCAGGTGTGCGGGAGTTCACCTGTGACACCTGCAGCAAGTCCTTCAAGCGCAAGAACCACCTGGAGGTGCACAGGAGGACCCACACCGGGGAGACCCCCCTGCAGTGAGTGACCGCATTGTGGGGGGGGGTCCTGCCCCCCCAGGAGGGCGGGGAGGGGTCCCCGGGCACAGCTGACGCCCACCTTGCCCCCCCAGGTGCGAGGTGTGCGGGTACCGCTGCCGCCAGCGCGCCTCCCTGACGTGGCACATGCGGAGACACGGGGGGCTGCAGAGTGCCCCCGAGCGCCGCGGCACCTAGGGACCCCCCGGCTCACCTGGGACCCCCACGGCTCACCTGGGACCCCCAGCTCATCTGGGACCCCCCTGGCTCGGCTGGGACCCCCCCGGCTCACCTGGGACCCCCCTGGCTCGGCTGGGACCCCCAGCTCACCTGGGACCCCCATGGCTCAGCTGGGACCCCCAGCTCACCTGGGACCCCCCTGGCTCGGCTGGGACCCCCACGGCTCACCTGGGACCCCCAGCTCACCTGGGACCCCCACGGCTCACCTGGGCCCTCCTTGGGTTCACCTGGGACACCCCCCAGCTGAGCTGGGACCCCCACAGGTCATCTGGGACCCCCCCGGCTCACCTGGGCCCCCCCAGACTCACCTGGGCCCCCACCTGCTCGCCGGGACCCCCTGGCTCACCTGGAACCCCCCCAGACTCACCTGGGACCCCCCCAGCTCAGCTGTGACCCCCGGGCTCACCTGGGACCCCCCCTGGACTCACCTGGGCCCCCCCCAGACTCACCTGGGCCCCCCCAGCGCACCTGGGCCCCCACCTGCTCGCCGGGACCCCCCAGATGTTCCTGCAGCTGCACCGTGTGTCGCTGTCCCCGCGTGTCGCTGTCCCCACGCCCCCCGGGGCCGTGGCTGGTGGCCCCGGGTGTCCCCATCACCCGGTGACAAAGGGCCATTGTCACCCACCCCGCGCTATTGGGGAGGGGGGGAAGGGGCGGGGGCGCTGCCGCACAATGGGGGGATTGTCCCCCATGGCCCCACCCGGGTGTCACTGTCCCCCGTCCGCTGTCCCCGCCTCCCGCTGTCCCTGTCCCCAGCGTGTCCGTGTCCCCTCCCCAGCTCGCTGTCGCTGTCCCCGTGTCCCGGCGCTGTCCCCGTCCCCACGATCCCGCTGTCTCCGTCCCCTCGCCGTCGCCATGTCCGCGCCGTCCCCGTCCCCGCGGTGTCCCCGTGGCCGCGGTGACCCCCTGTGACACCCGCTGTCCCCCCAGCAGATCCTGAGCACGGTGGAGGCCCAGGCTCCCAGCGCCGCGGGGCCGTCGGGCTGCGGCCCTGTCCCCGTCCCCGTGCCCGTGGTGGCCGTGCCAGGCCCGGGGGTGGCGGCAGCGCTGCCCAACGGGGCCCCCCCGGGTCCCCCCCCCGTGGCCGACGACAGCAAAACCAACCTGATCGTCAACTACCTGCCGCAGTCCATGAGCCAGGAGGAGCTGCGGAGCCTCTTCGGCAGCCTCGGAGACATCGAGTCCTGCAAGCTCGTCCGGGACAAGGTCACCGGTACAGGCAGGGGACGGGGCAGGGACACGGGACAGGCAGGGGACACGGGGACAGGGCACAGGGACACGGGGACAGGCAGGGGACAGGCAGGGGATGGGGCAGGGGACGGGGCACGGGGACAGGCAGGGGACAGGCAGGGGACATGGGGACAGGCAGGGGACAGGGCATGGGGACACGGGGACAGGGCATGGGGACAAGGCAGGGGACACGGGGACAGGCAGGGGACAGGGCAGGGGACACAGGGCAGGGACAGGGCACAGGGACACGGGGCAGGGACAAGGCATGGGGACATGGCATGGGGACATGGGACAGGGACAGGGCACGCCGACATGGGACAGGGATGGGGCATGGGGACAAAAGGCAGGGACAGGGCACAGGGACACGGGGATGTAAGGTGTGGCAGATGGGACCACAGGGACACGGGCAGTGGGACAAGGGACACAGCACATGGTGAAATGGGACACAGTGACGTGGGAAGGGAGAGGGGACACGGGGACCTGTGGGGACAGGGATAGATTCAGTGGGAGCAGGGACAATTCAGTGTCCCCGCACTGCCCCACAACCCCAGTGTCCCTGTCCCCACAGGTGTGACCCTGAGTGCCACATCCATGGGGACCCGGGGACAGCGAGGCTGGGGGGTGGCCGTGGATCTGGGGGACAGGGGTGGGAGCAGAGTGGGGACAGGGACGGGGGTGGCTCTGGGAGCGCAGGGGACAGGGCCACCGCGGTGACAGTGACACCGTGCCCCAGGGCAAAGCCTGGGCTACGGCTTCGTCAACTACGTGGAGGCCGGCGACGCCGACAGGGCCATCGGGGCCCTCAACGGCCTCAAGCTGCAGACCAAGACCATCAAGGTGCCCTGGGGACATGGGGGTGGGCACCTGGGGGGCTTCCGGGGTGGGGGAGGCACAGGTGGGATCCTACAGGGGGGCACTTGCAGGGCACTTTGGGTGGGTGGAAGGCCTGGGCAGCCCTGCCCGTGTCCCCTGGGGGTCCCGAGGGCTCACCTGTCCCCCCAGGTGTCCTACGCCCGGCCCAGCTCCGCCTCCATCCGCGATGCCAACCTGTACGTGAGCGGCCTGCCCAAGGCCATGGGGCAGAAGGAGATGGAGCAGCTCTTCTCCCAGTACGGCCGCATCATCACCTCCCGCATCCTCGTGGACCAGGTCACAGGTGAGGCCACCTGGGAGGGTGGGACAGTCCTGGGCTGGGGGGTCCTGGGGGTCTTGGGGGAGGTGGGACACTCCTGGGAGGGTGGGACATCCCTGGGTGGGTGGTCCTGGGGGTCCTGGGGGAGGTGGGACACTCCTGGGAGGGTGGGACAGTCCTGGGTTGGGGGTCCTGGGCGAGGTGGGACACACCTGGGAGCTCCTGGGAGGTGGGACATCCCTGGGGTGGGGGGTCTTGGGGATCCTGGGGGTCCTGGGGGAGGTGGGACACTTCTTGGAGGTCCTGAGGGTGGGACGTCCCTGGGAATGGGAGTCCTGGGGGGTTCTGGGGGATGGGACATCCCTGGGAATGGGAGTCCTGGGGGGTTCTGGGGGGGGTCTGGAGAGGTGGGGCTCCCCTTGGGGGGTTACCCAGCAATCCTTTAGGATCTGTGGGTGGGCGAGGCGGGAAGGGGGTTTTGGGGGGTTTCGTGGGGGGCTGTCCCCGATCCCCGTGTCACCTGCGCAGGTGTGTCCCGGGGGGTGGGCTTCATCCGCTTCGACAAGCGCGTGGAGGCCGAGGAGGCCGTGCGGGGGCTGCACGGGCAGAAGCCCCTCGGGGCCGCTGAGCCCATCACGGTCAAGTTCGCCAACACCCCCGGGCAGAAATCGGGGGGGGCCCTGCTGAGCCTCTGCCCCGGAGCCCGGCGCTACGGGACCCTGCACCCCCCCCCGCAGCGCTTCCGGTGAGCGACGGGGCTGGCGGTGGGGGAGACCCCCGGGAATGGGGGACACCCCCGGGAATGGGGGCCCTGGGGGGCTGGGAATGGGGGAGACCCCCGGGAATGGGGGGACACCCCCGGGAATGGGGGAGACCCCCGGGAATGGGGATGCTGGAGAGGGATATCCCCGGGAATGGGGGTGCTGGGGGGTCGGAGGGGTGGGACCCCCATGGGAACAGAGGCACTGGGGGTCCTGGGATGGTCCAAGCGGGTGGGAACAGAAACCCCAAGGACCCTGGGAGTGCTCAGAGGGGGGCTCTGGGGGTGGGACCCCCCTGGGCACTGGGACCCCCCGTTGTCCCCCACTAACATCCTCTGATCCCCCCCAGACTGGACAACTTGCTGAACGTGGCCTACGGGGTGAAGAGGTAACGCCCCCCCCCAAACCCCCCACCAAAACCCCCCTCCCCTCCGCCTGGGGACCCTCCCGGCGCAGGAGGGGACCCCGGGACCCCCGCGCTGACCCCGGGCCAGCCCGCTGTCGCTGCTGCCCAGGTTCTCCCCGCTGGCCATCGAGGCGGTGCCGGCGCTGGCCGGGGTGGGCTTGGGGACCCCCGGGCCGGGCTGGTGCATCTTCGTCTACAACCTGGCGCCCGAGGCGGACGAGAGCGTCCTGTGGCAGCTCTTCGGGCCCTTCGGCGCCGTCACCAACGTCAAGGTCATCCGCGACTTCGCCACCAACAAGTGCAAAGGCTTCGGCTTCGTCACCATGACCAACTACGAGGAGGCGGCCATGGCCATCGCCAGCCTCAACGGCTACCGCCTGGGCGACCGCGTGCTCCAGGTGTCCTTCAAGACCACCAAGCAGCACAAGGCCTGAGGTTTGTCCCCGCCCGGGGGGGCTGCGGGGTCTCCTGTCGGGGTGTGGGGGTGTGGGGACCCCCCCTCTGTGAGCGCCGTGGAGGAACTCGGCTGGAGGTCTTGGGGACCCCCTCTGTGGGCACCGTGGAGAAAGCCAGCTGGGCCTTGAGGACCTTGGGGACCCCCATGGAGACCATGGACAAACCCAGCTGGAGACCTTGGGGACCTTCAGGGACCCCCATGGAGACCATGGACAAACCCAGCTGGAGACCTTGGGGACCTTCAGGGACCCCCATGGAGACCATGGACAAACCCAACTGGAGACCTTGGGGACCTTGGGGACCTTCAGGGACCCCCGTGAGCACCACGGAGACCATGGAAAAACCCAACTGGAGATCTTGGGGACCTTCAGGGACCCCCATGAGCACCATGGAGGAACTCGGCTGGAGGTCTCGGGGACCCCCATGAGCACCAAACACATCCTGGAGACCTCAGGGTCCCCACCATGGGCACCATGGAGATCATGGAGGAACCCAGCTGGAGACCTTGGGGACCCTCAGGGACCCCCATGGGCACCATGGAGACCATGGAGAAACCCAACGGAAGATCTTGGGGACCTTGGGGATCTTCAGGGATTCCCATGGAGACCATGGAGAAACCCACATGAAGACTTGGAGACCTCAGGGTCCCCCCCATGGGCACCATGGAGATCATGGAGGAACCCAGCTGGAGACCTTGGGGACCCTCAGGGACCTTCAGGGACCCCCATGAGCACCAAACACATCCTGGAGACCTCAGGGTCCCCCCCCATGAGCACCACGGAGATCATGGAGGAACCCACCTTGAGGTCCTGGGCACCCCCTCCATGGACACCAAGGACATCCTGGATCTCCAGGATGCAGAAAAGCACCTGGAGACCGTGGGGACACCCCGTGAGCGCCGCAGACAGCGTGGAGACCCCGGAGACCCCCTCCACGGGGGGGACACCTGACGCACAGCCCGGACACCTGGACACCCTCACCTGTCCCCGACGGGCATCCTGAGCACTCCTCCAGGTGCTGCAGGGCACTGGGAGGGGCCCTGGAGACCCCCCAGGACACTGTGGACACACCTGGGACCCCCCACCCCGGGTACCCCAAACCCCACCACTCCGGCAGTGGCCGGACCACCTGGAGCGGTGCCCCCCCTTCACCTGATCCAGGTGTGTCCAGGTGGGGGCTGTGCCCCCCCTTCCCTCCACTCCAGGACTCCAGCGGGGAGGTGGGGGGGGGGGCGCGTCTTCTCGCTCTCTCCTTCTTTCCATGTTTTTCCTTAATTTTCCGGGGGAGGGGGAGGAATTTTTGGGGAGGAAGAACAAAAACAAGGATTAATCACGTGTTTAATTAGACCTGTTAGCCGTTTGTCAGGTAAGGAGGAGCGTGACTGGCGCCGGGAGCGGTGACTCCTCGGGAGCCGCCGACCCAAATCCATCTATTTTTATAGCAGAATATTAAAAATATCCCCCGAAATCCCCAAAATCGCCTTTCCAGAGGGGGTGAGAACCTGTTTTGTGCTCCCCGAGTTCCTTGGAAGCAGCTTGTGAACCCCAAGAGCGATCAAGGCAAGTTTTGGGGGGGTCAGTGGCACTAAGATGCCAGGGATTGCTCTGGTACCCCCAAAACTGGGAGGGAGGGGATGTGCCTTGTCACACTTCCCCCCCCTCCCTTCCCAAATTCTCCAAAATGGGCAATTTTTGCCCCAAATTACTCCACTTGGAGCCTCCTGTCCAAAAACAAAAAGGGCGGAACCCCACCTGAAAAGCCCCAACCCTGAGTTCCCCCAGACTCCTTATGGGGAGGTGTATTCTTAATTATTCTTAATTATTCTTATTAATTATTATTGATGTTGTTATTATTATTATTATTATTGCGATTCTTATTTATTTTCCCTTCGCCGTCGGGATAATTTCTCACTTTTCAGTGGTTTATTTCCCATTTATTTCCTATTCTTCCCTGATTTTTCCCTGATCCTGGTACTCCCCGGGACCCTCTTTTTTCCCCCCAGACCCTTCCCCAAACCCATCCCAGCTCCTGGTTTTTTTGTGTCGTGCCTGTGTGAAGCTTCTTGTAGTTTTAATTATTATTAATATAAATATTTAGGAGCGACCCCCGTGTCCAGATCCGCCATCACCCCCCCCCCCAAACTCTGACCCCCACCCCCTCTCCCAGGGATCCAGCCCTGGAATTTGGGGAGGGGGCCAGGGGACCCCCAATTCAGTAGCAATAAGGGGTCCCCACCTCAGCCCCGGCCCATTTTTGGGGGGCCCAACGCGGGGACAAAAGGTGCCCAGGGACCCCCTTGTGGCACTGCGGGACCCCTCGGAGGGGACCGGGACCCCCCCGGCCCCCACCCCTGGACTCGACTCTTTGTATTTTTCATGGAAAAAAATCAATAAAAAAATCAAAAAGGCAAAATTTGTACGTGGTTTTGGCAGGGAGGGTGCATCCGTCCGGGACTGGATGGCTGAGGGACCGTCGGCCATTTTCCCTCGCGCTTCCCTCCATTTTCCCCTCACGTTTCCCACCTTTTTACCCTCACATTTCCTGGCTTTTACCCTCAGGTTTCCTTCTCTTTTCCCCTCACATTTCCTGCCCTTTTCCCCTCACGTTTCCCTCCATTTTTCCCTCATGTTTCCCACCTTTTTACCCTCACATTTCCTGCTCTTTTCTCCTCACGTTTCCCTCCATTTTCCCCTCATGTTTCCCACCTTTTTACCCTCACATTTCCTGGCTTTTACCCTCAGGTTTCCTTCTCTTTTCCCCTCACATTTCCTGCCCTTTTCCCCTCACGTTTCCCTCCATTTTTCCCTCATGTTTCCCACCTTTTTACCCTCACATTTCCTGCTCTTTTCCCCTCAGGTTTCCCTCTGTTTCCCCTCACATTTCCTACCCTTCTCCCCTCACATTTCCCCCTCACATTTCCTGCCCTTTTCCCCTCATGTTTCCCTCTCTTTTCCCTCACATTTCCTACCCTTCTCCCCTCACACACATTTCCCCCTCACATTGCCCTTTTCCCCTCATGTTTCCTTCTCTTTTCCCCTCACGTTTCCCTCCATTTTCCCCTTACGTTTCCCTCCATTTTTCCCTCATGTTTCCCACCTTTTTACCCTCACATTTCCTGCTCTTTTCCCCTCATGCGTCCCTTTGTTTTCCCTTCATATTTCCCTCCATTTCCCCCTCACATTTCCTGCTCTTTTCCCCTCATGCGTCCCTTTGTTTTCCCTTCATATTTCCCTCCATTTCCCCCTCACGTTTCCCTCCATTTCCCCCTCACGTTTCCTGTCCTTTTCCCCTCACACTCCCACTCGTTTCCCCCTCACATTTCCTGGCCCTTTTCCCCTCACGTTTCCCTTCATTTTCTCCTCACATTTCCCTCCCTTTTCTCTTCACACTTCCCACCTTTCCCCCTCACACTTCCTGCTTTTTTCCCCTCATGTTTCTCACCTTTTCCCCTTCACATTTCCTGCATTTTTTCTGCTTCACGTTTCCCTCCATTTTCCCTTCACGCTTCCCGCCCTTTTTCCCCTCACGCTTCCCGCCATTTTCTCCCCTCACGCTTCCCACCGTTTTCCCCTCACGGTTCCCTCCATTTCCCTCTCACATTTCCCGCCCTTTTCCCATTACACAAACATAAAAAAAAAAGCTTTTCCCTCTCCATTTCCGCATCTTTCCTCCTCACAAGCTCCGTTTTCCCCGAGGTCACTGGATGGACGGACAGCAGCCCGTGAGTGCAGTGGAGGGACCGGGATGCTGCCGGGGGCTCCGGGACGCACTTGGGGGCGGTTTTGGGATTGCTGGACGAGGTTTAGCGCTGCTGCCAGGGTTTTGAGGGTGTTCATTGCATTGTAGGGGATGCTGCCATGGGTTTGAGGGTTCTAAAGGGGCGATTAAACACTTTTGGGGCGTGCTCGGTAGATCTGCGCTCCCGCCACGCTGCCGTAAAGTACCGCCGCCGCCTCAGCGAGCTCGCCGCACTGCCGTAAAGAACCGCCACATTGCCGTGAACGGCCGCAGCAGCTTCGAGCCCGCCACACTGCCGTAAAGCGCAGCCACTGCACCTTTGTGTTAGCCACACTGCCGTAAAGCGGTGCTGCCGCGCTGGCCACACTGCCGTAAAGCGGCGGGGCAGAGGGAGCCCCGGAGAGATTTGGGGGGGCTGGGAGAGAATTTGGGGGCACACAGGGGGGGTTTGGGGGTCCTGGGACAGGATTTAGGGCGGGCACGAAGAGTGGGGGCCGGCCCAGCATCCCCCCGCCCGCTCCACCGGCGGGTTCGAGCTCCCGGTTTAAGGAAATGTCATTTTCTTGTCATTTCGGCCCCTCATAACCTTAAGGGTTAAATTGGGGGGGGAATCCTCATTTCCCCTAATTTTAGAGGTTAAATTGAGGAGGTTCGAGCTCCCGGTTTAAGGAAATGTCATTTTCTTGTCATTTCGGCCCCTCATAACCTTAAGGGTTAAATTGAGGAGGAATCCCCGTTTCCCCCATTTTTTAGGGGTTAAATTGAGGAAGAATCCCCGTTTTCCCCCACTTTAAAGGGTTAAATTGAGGAAGAATCCCCGTTTCCCCCATTTTTAATGGTTAAATTGAGGAGGAATCCCCGTTTCCCCCCATTTTTAGGGTTTAAATTGTCAGAAACCTCTTTTTGCCCATTTCAGGAGTTTCACCGAGGGGGACCCCCCGCTTTAGGGGGAAAAAAAGGCATCAAAAAGCCCCAAAAACGGCGTTTCTTGCGGGAAAAGCAGCGAGGGGCCGTTTGGGGGGTGGGATTGGGGCGGAAATTCCATTTTCCCGCAGCCCCGGGGGTGGATCGGGGTTAAATCCTCCGGGTTTGGGTCTGTGGGGGCTTCGGGCAAAGGGGGAGAGTCCGGGGGGTTCAGAGGGACAGACGGACACGGGGACAGGGGACAGGGGACAGACGGACACGGGGACAGGGGGACAGACGGACACGGGGACAGGGGGACAGACGGACACGGGGACAGGCCACATTGCCGTGAACGGCCGCAGCAGCTTCGAGCCCGCCACACTGCCGTAAAGCGCAGCCACTGCACCTTTGTGTTAGCCACACTGCCGTAAAGCGGTGCTGCCGCGCTGGCCACACTGCCGTAAAGCGGCGGGGCAGAGGGAGCCCCGGAGAGATTTGGGGGGGCTGGGAGAGAATTTGGGGGCACACAGGGGGGGTTTGGGGGTCCTGGGACAGGATTTAGGGCGGGCACGAAGAGTGGGGGCCGGCCCAGCATCCCCCCGCCCGCTCCACCGGCGGGGTCGAGCTCCCGGTTTAAGGAAATGTCATTTTCTTGTCATCATTTCGGCCCCTCATAACCTTAAGGGTTAAATTGGGGGGGGAATCCTCATTTCCCCTAATTTTAGAGGTTAAATTGAGGAGGAATCCCCATTTTTAAGGGTTAAATTGAGGAGGAATCCCCATTTTCCCCACTTTTAAGGGTTAAATTGAGGAGGAATCCCCTTTCCCCCATTTTTAATGGTTAAATTGAGGAAGAATCCCCGTTTCCCCCATTTTTAATGGTTAAATTGAGGAGGAATCCCCGTTTCCCCCCATTTTTAGGGTTTAAATTGTCAGAAACCTCTTTTTGCCCATTTCAGGAGTTTCACCGAGGGGGACCCCCCGCTTTAGGGGGGAAAAAAGGCATCAAAAAGCCCCAAAAACGGCGTTTCTTGCGGGAAAAGCAGCGAGGCGCCTTTTGGGGGGTGGAATTGGGGCGGAAATTCCATTTTCCCGCAGCCCCGGGGGTGGATCGGGGTTAAATCCTCCGGGTTTGGGTCTGTGGGGGCTTCGGGCAAAGGGGGAGAGTCCGGGGGGTTCGGGAATGGGAGGGGGAACGGGAACGGGAATGGCACCGGGAGCGGGAACGGGAACCGTACCGGGAACGGGAACAGGAACGAGAGCCGCACCGGGAATGGCACCGGGAGGGGGAGCGGGAACCGTACCGGGAAAAGGAACGGGAACGGGAACTGTACCGGGAACGGGAACGGGAGGGGGAACGGGAATGGCACCGGGAGAGGGAGCAGCACCGGCACCGGTACGGGCGGGCACGGGAGACCCGCGCGGGGCCGGTGCCGGTGCCGGTGCCGGTGCCGGTGCCGGGGTGGGCGGAGCCGCCCCCGCCGCGTTTCCGCCGCTGTCACCGGGCGCTCCCGCCGCGGACAAAGGCGGAGGATGCCGGCACCGGGAGGCGGCCAGGTACGGCACGGCACCGGGAACGGGCACGGGCGGACCCTTCCTCCCGTCGCTGCCGCGGCCAGAGCCCCCCCCGCCCCGGTGCCGGTGCTGCCCCGGTACCGTGAGACCGGTACCGGAACCGCGGGGGCGCCCGGAATGCGGAATTCGGGTCTGGGGGGTTCCGGGCCCGGGAGCTGCCGGTGCCGCGGGATGCGATGCCGCGGTTTCCTTGGCAACCGGCACCGGGAGGAGCCGGGGGGGTCCCGGGGAGCCCCGAGCCCACCGGGAGCCCCGGGCGGTACCGAGCGTGTGGGGGCTCAGCCCGGAGCCTGGGGGCACCGGGGGTCCGGGGGGTTACCGGGGGTTACCGGGGGTCCCCGCTCTGCCCCTCACGCTCCTCTCTCCCGCAGGTGCCGCAGCCCCCCGGGACCCCCCGGGGTCCCCCCGCGCGGGCCCCGCGCCCCGAGCCCCGGCACCCCACGTGAGCAGAACCGGAGCGGGCCCGGGCCGCAGGTGAGGGGCACCGGGGGGCTCCCGTGCCGTGCCAGGCTCCGTGCCGTGCCGTGCCGTGCCAATCCGCGCGGTTTGATGCCGTGCCGTGCCGTGGGAGGCTCCCGTGCCGTGCCGTGCCGTGCCACTCGCTTTGCCAAGCTGTGCCATTCCGTGCCGCGCCAGTCCCTGCCGTGCCGTGCCGTGCCGTGCCTGGGCATTCCGTGCCATTCTGTGCCATGCCGTTCCGTGCCGTGCCGTGCCCTGTGCCCTGCCGGGTGATGCCGTGCCATTCCGTGCCGTGCCATGCCTGGCCATTGATCTCCTGATCTCCCTCGTGTCCTTCCTCCGCAGCTTTGCACAACGCTCTGCCTCAGCAGCCCTCGAGGCCCAGCAACCGGGCGGCGGCACCGGCGGCGGCACCGGCGGCGGCGCCGGCGGCACCGGGAGGATTTTTCCCCGGGTCTTTCCTACCGGTTGCGCGGGGCCATGCGGAGCCCGGCACCGGGAGGAGCCGCTGCCGGTACCGCGGATCGCTGAGGAGGGACCCCGGAACCGGCACCGGGGGGGTGGGGGGACTCCGGGACCCGCTCCGGTACCGTCACCGTTAGCGGGTGGCTGCGGCCCCGGTACCGGCAGCACTCCGGGTGCCCGGTTCCCCCCGGTGCCGGCGATGATGGAGCCGGTGCCGGGCTCCAGGAAGAGCCTGTCGCTGTCGCTGCCG